ACTGGACTGCGGGGGTGTCCATTTGCCCAATGAGGCACAAACAGGAATTTGCAGCTAAGAAAGTAAGGATTTAGTAAGGAAATGGCGCCAGGCCAGGAGTCACAGGTGAGCTGATGCTCAAAGACCTGGCTCCCCAATGGCTTCCAGGGAACAGATTATATAGGGAAAAAGCCTTTCATCGTGGTGACTAAAGGAGTTAGGCTGTGGTCCCTACTGATTGGTCAGTGCTAGGGGAGGGGGTAGTTGATCATTGCATCTGGTCCTGATGTCAGCCCATGAAGTTATTCTGTCCAATTTTGCAAGGATTTGTTCTATGGGACCTTTCTGTTTCCCTGGGTCTGGAGCTAAAACACAATTAATTGAGGCCAAGAGATTGTCTTTAGTTTGACTGAAAACTCTGTCTCTGTAGTTAACAGACTCAGGACCTTGTTCCTAAGTCTGTTGGATGCTGACCAGAATTTCTTTGTCCTGAGGGCTTGATGATTAAGCAAGGGAGAAGGAGATGGGTGAGTCAGGATGCTGGGTGAGGCCAGTTTGAGTCAAAGGGGAAAAAATTCAAAATAAAAGGCCAGATTAAAGAAAATAAGGTTTTTCTCTATGAGCGGTTACAATGGCTGGGCTCCCTGAGCCTTTCTCTTTCCAGGCAGGTGAGCAGAGCATCCTCTATGCTTAAAGTCCCTCGAGATGAGTGGTCAATCCTGGAGTAGCACAATCTTTAGTCACTAAAAAGTGCTTTCATTCATTAAATGAAGCTGATCATATGCAGCAGAAGAGGGCTCTTGAATGGTGAGCAGAGTCCAGAGCTTGAAAGTGTGTAAAATGAAAGCGGCATCCATCCCACTAAGTCTCACCACTGTGATGTTCACTAATCTAACACAACTTAGGGATGTCCCCAGCATTCCTGACAGTACACTTCACCTTTCTTTCCCACTCAATACATCAGATCACGCAGTGACATTATTTCAGAGTTAACCTTTTTTAAAAAATAAACCGTCCACAAATTCTAGGACTTTAGCTCTGAGTGCTAACACATCTGTGCCGCCCCTTGACTCTGACCTTCACTCACATTGCATCACAAAGCACCGCAGTTGAGAGCATTGCCCCCAGGACAGGAACCATTTGCTATTGGCCCACAGGAGGCACCCTTGAGGTTTGTTGAGTGAACTCCAAGGTTCTCAGCCTGAGAATATGGGAAAGCACATTTTACTTAGGGACAGGCAAGCCCCTAGAACCAAGAACCTTCTGTTCCTGATTCCTGTCACAGAAATGCCTTCCTACTTGGAAGTACCATAGGGACAGCACCTACCTGTTATTAAAAGCTGGGCTGGACATTTGACACTGTTTGGCCACAGAGCATCTACTCCTTCCCAACGTCACTCTGATTTCTTCTGGGGAACTCTCTGGCACCTACTGTGTACAGTCTTGGTGGACAGTAAGCCATCCAGGGATCCGTCTCCCACTTCATAAACCAGAAGGATCACTCACATCTCCTGCGGCCTGACTTCCCTCTCACCACTTAGAACAACCAAAGACAAACATTTGTGTTTTGTTTGTTTGCTTGTTTAGGGAGGTCACTTTTCATGCTTTTATTCATGCCACAATATTTAATGAGCACGTACTATGTGTTAAGCACCATGGCAGGCACTAAGATGACCTTGTCATTTCCCTGCTGTATTCCCCAGTCTACAGAGAAAGACAGGCATCTGACCAGAGGATTCCCATCCACTCCTGTGTGAGTCTCAGGACTCAGAGATGCTAAAATTTGACTCTTCAGAGTCCTTCTTTTGGGGCCTCTCTTCCTGATAAGGTCACACACATACTCCTGAGCACACGGACATTTTTCCATCTTCATCCTATAGACCCCCAGTGTGAAGAGCAAAATCGTGACAATTGAAAAACGAGCATTTGATCTAAGCTTAGCCAGTTGCATTCCCAGGAATTTGCTTTGGAGCAAGAAACACAAGGATGGAAGGAATGGTGGAACTTCACCCATCCCCATAACCACACCTGGGCAAGACGGTGGAGATGTCCCTGCTCCCAAGACCCTCTGAGCTACCTTGCTCCTGTCTGCTCAAGCTCAGTTCTAAGCCCTCCCTTGCACCCTGTGGCATCCATGGCCACCCAACCTCTTCCCTTTTCTTAATTCAGCTTGTTGCCTTCCATCAATGAATCTGGCTGACACACCAGCTCATCCTAATGAAGAAAGAATTCCCCATTTCTCCTCCCTGTGGGATCCAAAGGCCAAATGTGACCCTGGGCAATGAGCTTCCCAAGATTCTTAATCAAAAAGAAAATAAATTTACATAATTTGCTAGTCCTAACCATCTTCCAGCTGACAACTTCTGATCAGAACATAGAAAACCTGAGTTCACTTGACAAAGTTAGACTACTTGTTAGGAAAAGGGATAGGAAGGGGTAGAATTTCAAGTGTTTATTCAACCCTCAAGAAAAGCCTAGTGATTACCTACTCATTCCTCAGATCTGTGCTGGGAACGTTGCAGGGTCAAGCTCACTGCATCCTGGGATGGAAGAAATGGTCAGCATAGTCAGTGTCTTTGTTTTTCTGTCTTTCACCATTTCCAGTTGTATGCAGAGCATTCTGGTCCTGCTGTTCCTCAAGGACACATGCCCAAGTTATTTACTATGATGGACGTTTGCCCCAACTTACAAGGGAATCCAAACCTCATACCTTGAAGTAAGGCAGCATTGTATGGAGGTACAGAGCAGATTTAGGTTCAAATCCCAAATCTGCGAAGACTGTGAGACCTTGGACACATCATTTAATCTCTCAATGCCTCAGCCTCCAAATTTGTAAAGCTGTGGGAGTCAATATGTGGGAAGCATATAGAATTATAAACACAATTACCCATCACTGTCTTCCCAACCTTGCCATGGAATCAGGCCATTAAATAAGCAGCAAAACACTGAGCAGCTGACTAAAGCTACATGATCTACCTTTTCTTGTTTACTTGCAGTTACACTTGTCAAAAGAAAACATTCAAGGATGTTCCACTTACCAGCATGAGATTGTGGGGGAGGAAAAAACCTTCTTCTACCCTCCTAGGTTCTTTCTGCTGGTCTAATGATCAAATAGGCACGAGAAGAATTGAGGTAATGACCAAATTTAATTACATAAATACATATGGGAACCCCACGTACAGAGGTTCAGACACAGAAAGGGAAAGTGGGGTATAAATGACATCCTGAGCTGAAGATGAAGTAGGGCACCTGGGCTTCAGAGGGGCAGAGGGCAATTTGCAGGTCAATGAGAAGAGCAGATGTTCAGTAGTTAGTAGTTTGTCCTGCTCTACAGATAGATTATAAAAAGTTATTCCTGGTGATAACTTTTTTTATGGGCAAGTCCCCTAATTTAAATTCTTTAAAGGAGAGGTAAAAGTTCCTTATGAGCCCACAAGATCTCCACTATCTTAAACTCAAAATAATTCACATACCAAAGTGACACATTTTGGAGAGGCCTGTGCTGAACCCTACAAGATGCTCAGTGGACCCATTTCCCAGAGAAACTGGTGAAAATTGTTTTTTAAACATCCATTTAAATTCTCTGGAAATTGACTTAGTATCTAAACCAAATGTAGGAGTATTTTTTTCAAGAAAATCTATTAAAACTCAGTAAGAACTACAAGAGTCTGTGGTATTGAACCAAGACTCACCTTCTCCCTCTCCCTCCCAGCTCAAAGGTGTGCGGACAAGAACACAGGACAGAAGGCTATCTCCCTGGGAGACTATCATCCTGCCTCCAGTTACCTGTTGCTAAAACAACTCCCGGATGAGGGGAGCTAAGAGGTAGGGCTTTCTTCTGCTGTTCGGCCCCCACTGGTGGAAGTGAGGCTCTGCGTTGAGTGTGGCTTGGCTGAAAATACTAGGGCTACAATTTCCTCTTGTCCCAGCTCATAGGCAGGGAGTCCCCACCAGAAGAGACAAGCCAAGGAGGCCTGGGGCTGCTACCTTCCCACCACTGAGCACTCAGGTCCGAGAGTGGAGGCGACACACAGACAGAAGCACATCATTGTCCCCACCTGCAGCACCAGAGCCTTGGCTCAGGGATTTCCCCCAGGAACGAGAATGAGGCCATAAATAGAGAACTACAAACCCCTCCCTAAAGGAACTGACTCCATCTGCAACCCAGTGTGGAGAGATTCAAGCTTCCGTGTGCTCTCAGAAACGGTGGTATTAGTGATGAAAGGCATTTGGAGGGAGATTAATATTCATTGGAGATACAGGCAAAACTGTAGGCTGGCTAATTTGTTAGAAGTGGGAAGAGAGACAACTGTGAAAAAGCTTCCTTGGGTCAGAACAAATCTCAAACACTGACCTCAGTACTATCCCTACAATAGAACTTGGTTTTTATTGGATTCCACCATAAACCAATTTATGCCTTGGGGCATTGTTGAAAACAATACCGAAATCAGCAAGGAATTTGTAGAGCTTAACCACTGGGTGGGCGTTGTTAGAGAAAAAGACAAAGAGAGCCCTGCCCAAACCACTGTCATCACAGGCTACTTGTGGGCATACTCAAAGCTGTACCCCTTGAGGTGCAACATCAGAGGTTTCACACTGGGAGGTGGGGAGATAATCCAGCCAGTCACTAAACAAGCAAATGATAACAAGCCTGGGAGAGTGACCAGAACCCAGACTTGCTACGATATATTATCTAAAATACCCAGTTTCCAACAAAAAGAGTTACAAGACATAAAGCGATAAGAAAGAATGACCCATCCACAAGAGGAAAAAAATGAGCGAACAAAAACTGTCTGTGAAAGCAACCAGATATCAGATTTAACGAAGACTTCTAAGTAGCCATTATAAATGTTCAAAAAACTGAAGAAAGCCATAAATGAATAAATAAAGGTATGATGACAATGTCTCATTAAATAGAAATATTAATAAAGAGACAGAATTATAACAAAGAATTAAATGGGACAGCTCCAGCAGCAACCAAGGTGTACGGAGGTCTCACTGTGCTTCTGATAGTGCTGGGCATGTTCTGGGGCACTGTCAGCTTCCTGGCTCCCTGGTTCACCCCAAAGGGTTCCAACCAGGGAGTTATCTCCGTGTTGGTGACTTGTTCAGTTTGCTGCTGTCTTTTTTGGCTGGTTTTGAAACCAGACACAATAGGTCAGGACTGCCTGTTGCTACTTCAGCCAAGGTTGAATCAAGCAGAGACAAGGTTGAATCAAATATGAGCATTTATTCCATTATTGCTGGCTCATGGGAGAGCAGTGGGATTTGTCCACATAAAATCTGTTTTGCCCTTCCCTTATTACCTGGCTGGTTATATAGGGCTGCATGCAAGGTGGAAGCTTAGGGTGGGAGGATGGCTACAGAGTCTGGGGCTGCCGTCTCCTTCCAGGATCTTGAAGTCTGATAACAAGGTAGTTAATTTTGAATGGTGTTAAAACCCAGTTCTGCAATGTGAGTGGTCAGCATTCCTGAGCTAAACTCCTGGAGGGGGGTTCAGGCTCCTGGCACAGCAACCAAATCAAATTGCTTCTTGTCCTTTGTCTGTTCTCAAAATGCATTTTCTTTTCTGAGCAATGGACCCATCTAGGCTCCAAGGTGTCTCATCTTTTTACAGCTCTGTTTTTCTTCTTGCAGCACATCCTTAAGTTTCCCAGGATCCGTAGGAAAACTTCTTATCTATAGTTTGTAGGGTGAAAAATCATTAAACAACTATGGTCCTATTCCTATTAGGTCCCCTCCCCCTTTCACAATCATGGTTAACACAGCATGGTCAACACCTCTGCTCCCAACAGTTTCAACTCTGGCCCATCTCAATTCTCTCTTTGGACCACAGTTGAAAAAATGAAACCATCTGGTACCTCAGGTATCACTGGCCTTGAGGAAGAAGACCCCCTGTCCAGTGCTCAGTCATTGAGGTCACGAAGAGAATTCCTCTAAATGCAAAATCACCTCCAAACCAGACCCACTTCTTTGACTTGCCTGTTTTGGCCACCAGCTGACTTAAATATTCACACATTTGAATATATTACTCCATAGTGCAATATTTTTTTGTCACTTTTTTTACACTTCAATGAATATATGCTTACTTACCCTAAACTGTGTTAAAGCCATAAAATATTCATGTACTCTTCTGAGATAGAAGGTGCTGTTCTTCCGAGAAACAGGTCACTCTTTCCTTGAAACCTGTGAATTTGAAGATGGCTCCTGCCTACTCACAACATGAGAATCAGAGGAGTATTTAAAGGCTTGTCACAAGATAATAAGATTTTCACTTATGTTTTCTTCTGGGAATTTTATAGTTTTGGATCTTACACTTAGATCTTTGATTCATTTTGAGTTAGTTTTTGTATATTGTGTAAGCTAAGGGTCTACTTTCATTCTTTTCCAAGTCGCTATTCAGTTTTCCCAGCGCCATTTGTTGAACAGACTTAAATTCCCATTTATGAGCACTTTCTTACATATGGTCTTGCAGAAGATGATTAGCAAGAAGGCCAAGTGTCTCAAAAGTGGTCCATATATTTAGATATCCATATGAATAGCTTATTAATAAACATGCTTTTTATATAGACTTAAAAGTGATTACCCCAAGTCACTTTAATCAACTTTACCCATATAAAAATACAGTTAGAGGCCTATTTCCAGCCACTGATTAATTTTGATCCAATGAATTCTAGTGTTAGACAGTCTGAAATATTTTGAAAATGGAGACCTCTTGCATTGAGACACATCTCAGTTTTGATTAATTTTTTTTGTGAATTCCTTAGGATTTTCTATGTACATTTTCCTTTCTAATCTGGATGGCTTTTATTTCATCCTCTTGCTTTATTTTCCTGGCTAGAATGGTCAGTATAATATTGAACAGAGGTCGTGGAAGTAGACAGACATCTTTGTCTTGTTCCTGATCTTTGGAGGGACGCATTTCCCTCTTTCATCATGAAATATGATGTCAGCTCTGGGCTTTTCATAGCTACCCTCCATTGGGTTGAAGAATTTCCTTGCTATTCCTAGTTCGTTGAGTGTTTTAATGTGAAGGGATGTTGAATTTTGTCAAATGATGTTTCTGCATCTATTGAGAGGATCATGTGGTTTTATTTTTTGTTCTATTGATCTGGTGAGTTATAATTGATTTTTAGGTGTTGAATCACCTTGCATTCCTGGATAAATTTTATTTGGTCATGGTACATAATTCTTTTTATACATTACTGGATTCATTTGGCAGTATTTTGTGGATGATTGTTGCATTCATACGCATAAGAGATATTGGTCTGTAGTTTTCTTCTCTTGTGATGTCTTTTTCTGGTTTTGGCATCAGGGCATCCTTTTTTATTTTTGATGAGTTTTTGAAGAACTGGTATGAATTCTTCTTTTAATGTTTGGTAGAATTCATCAGTGAAGATATCTGGCCTGAGCTTTTCTTTGTGGAAAGGTTTTTGCATTACTAATTCAATCTCTTTACTTATTATAGGTCTATTTGGATTTTCTATTCTTCCTGAGTATGTTTCCGTAGTTTTTAATCTCTCTAAAAATGTGTCCATTTCATTCTAAGTTGTCTAATCATTGGCATACAATTTTTCATAGTACAATTTTCTCTCTGTAAGGCCAGTCATAATGTCCCCTTGGTTATTTTTTATTCTAGTAATTTGAGTCCTCTCTCTTTTTTCTTGGTCAATCTAGCTAAAATCATTACTTTTATCTTTTCAAAGAACCAGCCTTCAGTTTCATTGGTTTTCTCTGTTCTTGATTTAATTTATTACCACTCTGATCTTTATTATTTCTTTCATTCTGCTTGCTTTAAGTTAAGTTTGTTCTTCTTTTTCCAGAGCCTTAAGATGGAAGGTTGTAATTGTTTTGAGATTTTTCTTCTTTTTTAATATATACATTTATAGCTATAAGTTTCCCTCTAAGCACTACTTCTGCAGAATCCCATAAACTTTTACATGTTGTTTCTTTATTTTTATTTATCTCAAAGTATTCTCTAATTTTTCTTTGTATTTCTTCTTTTATCATCGGTCATTTAGGAGTATGCTGTTTAATGTCTACATATTTGTGAGTTTTCTAAATTTCTTTCTGTTATTGATCACTAATTTCATTCTATTGTGACAGCAGAACAATCTTTGTATTATTTCTATCCTTTTAAATTTATTGAGGTTTTTAAATGAGCTAGTATATGGATTGTCCTGGAGAATGTCCCATGTGGACTTGGGAAGAATACATCCTACATATGTCTGTTAGATTTATCTCATTTATAGCATTGTTCAAGCCATCTATTTCCTTATTGATTGGGGGGGGGCTGGTTGTTCTATCCATTATTGGAACTTGGATGTTGAAGTCTCTATTATCTATTTTCCTTTCTTTTCTATCACTTTTTATTTAATGTTCTTTTAAAAATCTCTAGTAAAATTTTTGTCTTAAATTCTATTTTGTCTGATATTGGTCACTCCAGTTTTCTTTTGGTTTGTATGATATATCTCTATCTTTTTACTTTCGGTCTACATGTATCTTTGAATGCAAAAGGTATCCCCTGTAGGTAGCTTATAGTTGGATCTTGTTTCATTTTTCTTTACTCCAGTCTATCTTTGCCTCTGATGGAATTGTTAATACATGCACATTTAATGTTATTATCAATATAGTTTGATTTATATCTGCCATGTTACTTTTTGTTTTCTATATGTCTCATTTCTTTTTCATGCTATCTTTTCTTTGCTGTTTTAATTTTGCATTAAATAAATATTTTCTAATATATATGCATCAAATGACACAATCAACAACATGAAAAGGCAAACTATGCAATGGGAGAAAATATTTGCACACCTTACATCTGATAATGGGTTAATGTCCAGACTATATAAAAAGCTGCTGCAACTCAACAACAAAGAATCAAATNGACTATATAAAAAGCTGCTGCAACTCAACAACAAAGAATCTCAATTAAAAAAATCTGCAAAGGACTTGAATAGAAATTTCTCCAAAGAAAATATACAAATGGCTAGCAGGCATATGAGAAGATGCTCAACATCACTAATCATTAGGAAACTGCACTTCAAAACCATGAGGCATCACCTACATGCATTAGAATGGCAGTTTTAAAAAACAAAAACAAAGAAACAGACAGAAAACAAGTGGTGATGAGGGTGTGGAGAAACTGTGCATTGTTGTAAAATGGTGCAACCACTGTGGAAAACAGTATGGTGATTCCTCAAAAAACTAAAAATAAAACTACCAGATGAGCTCGCAATCCCACATGTGGATATAGATCCAAAAGGACTGAAAGCGGACTCTGGGGACATTTGCACCGTCGTGTGCATAAGGAGAACCATTCACAATAAGCCAAGAGGTGGAAGCAACCTGAATGCTCATGGGCAGATGGAAGAACAAACACAATGTGATCTCTGTAACATGTATCGTGGAATATTAGTCAGCCTTAAAAAGGAAATAAATAAATCCTCTCACACGCCATAAGATGGATAAACTTTGAGGACACTATGTTGTCAGTCACAGAAAGACAAATACTGTTTGATTCCACTGACAAGAGGTGTCTGGGGTGAGCAAATTCATAGACAGAAAGTAAAATGGTGGTTGCAGGACTGGGGGAGAGGGAAAGGAGAGGCGTTTAAGGAGCAAGAAGTTTCAGTTCTGCAAGATGAAAAAGTTCTGGATATCTGATCCAAAACAATACTGGACGTGGCTGAGCTGTACATTTTAAAGTGGTTACAATGGCAAATTTTATGTTATGGGTTTTTTACCACAATTTTAAAAATAGTGTTCCCTGATAAAATAGGTAGTGCAGCTTGCAGCTCAATTGCACAAGTGCTTTTCCTTAACATAATTATCAAATTCAGCGGAAGTATTCATGCATACTTATTTCACACACAGAATATGAGAAAGACACATACTACTCAGGGGATGCAATTTAATTAAATTGATTTTTTTTACTTCTAACAACAGAGATTGCGTGCGCTGGGTAAATTTAAGGTGACATTATTATTANGGTAAATTTAAGATGACATTATTATTTTTTTTTATTGTAAGTTGCTTGGGGCAGGTGTTTTTTATTGGTTTACTATTCTGACACCAGATTCTAACAGAGTCTGAACTTTTTCCAGAGTTCTGTAAGAAGACCCTGGAGGGTCCTCTGGGGGAACTAAGGAGTGGTTTGCATTTTTAAAAGAGCCTTTGGCTGCTCTGTGGAGAAAGGGATGTGGGGGAGCAAAGGTGGAAGGAAATCTGAAGGTCACTAGGAGACAGTTGCAGGGACCTGGCCAGAGCAGGCTAAGGTGGCTTGGACTAAGATGGGGGTAATTCCAAATTCCCAGGAGAGAGTCATCTGCTCTAGCTTAGGTCAGGGGTCTATGAAATGGTCAAGAGGGAGGGGGGGTCACACGACACAGCTTGGCATCCAAGGGCTGCCCTTGGTGAGAGAGGTGATGTTAGAGAACTGAGAAGGGCCTGGGGATGAGCAGGCACCTCAATAGCAGTCTGTGCTATGAAGCCAAGGCCCTCAAGCTCCCTTTTGAGTGATTACCAGAAAGTGGCTTGGCCCACTGTCCTTTACTTGCTTTTATCCTAAGGGTGCGTCTGACCCCTAATGCTCCCACCTTTAGAAGCCCATGCTGACCCTCCTATCCCCGGAGCCCATAGTGGTTTTACTCACAATGTCACCCAGTGCACAGAGTAGGGATCTGGCAGAGGGGGAGCAGAGGCGAGCAAACCTCAGAGCGGTGGAAGTCTTTCAGGAGCTGGTGAAACGAGCCACACTCTGTAAATGCCGCAAACTCAGCGGAATCTGGGGGAAAGGCCTGGCCTCTCCCCCCGCAAATTCTGTTATTCTGAGGCCCTGGAAAACGCTGAGACCGCCCTACTTCTTTTATTCCTGCCCACCTGCAGGCATGTGAGGTGGCCTGTAGAACAAGTCACAACACGCAGTAGGGCCACTAGGAATAAGGGCAGAAGAGGGACCATAGAGATGCTCAACTGTTTGTCCCCACATCCTCGCCATGAGTGTGATTCTGCGACAAACCATCCCGCATGTCACGAAGGCCCCACGTGTCATGAAGGTGAGGCGTTTGGGGGGACTCACTGGGCAGTTTCCTGTGGAGGCCTGTTACCCATGCCCGTTCCCTCCCCTCGGTGATGCCTGGAACAGTCTCTCCCTTTAATAAGCAGCCTGTTGGACAAGTTAAGTGAAGCCAGGTGACTTTAAAGCATGTGCCAGCCTTGACTGTAAGGGCCGTGGGTTTGGTCACAGTATCTCCACATTTACCATCTGAGAACAACTTTTTTTTGTTTTTAATATGTGTTTATTGATTTCAGAGAGAGGAAAGGAGAGGGAGGGAGAGAGATAGAAACATCAATGATGAGAGTCATTGATCAGCTGCCCCCTGCAAGCCCCCTACTGGGGATCAAGCCCACACCCCGGGCATGTGCCCTGACTGGGAATCGAACCTCGATCTCCTGGATCCTAGGTCAATGTTTAACTGCTGAGCCACGCCTGTCTGGGCTCAAGTCTGGCTTTTACCAGCAGTAGGCCTGGAGGCAGATCAGCAAAGGTCCCAAGGCACCCCTAGATCTGTCTCGGCCTGCCCTTGCCTGCTGGCTGCCTGTTAGGCTGGGTCACTCAGAGAGCCTCTGGAGGGACTCAAGCTGCGTGAGGCGGGTTGTCCATGAGTCCCCACGTAGGGGCAAGTGGGCTACACCAGACTGATACAGGTTCAAATTTGGTGTCAGCACTGGGTCTGAAGCCCCTCAACAAATGTCTGAGGGTATACCCAATCTAGCTGCCACCCTTGGGTCCTCTCACACACCTTTGGGCAGTGTATGGAAGACCCAGACCTGGCTTTCTTTGTAAGAGAAGAATTAATAAGTCAAAATACGACTTAAGGAGTCTGGGACCTCTGGGGTGGTTTGAAAATGTTATTAGAATTATTAAGGCTTTAAAAGAAAAAATTTGTGTCTGCTTCCACACTAGAACTAAGGCACCAAAGTGATGCTTAACGTGCTCACAAGGACGCACAGTTCTGCCTTGCAGCAGTGCCCGATGCCACCAGAATAATGAATGGGGCAACTGGAGGAAGGAGACAAGACCATCCTCTCCCAGCAGTGGAACAGCGTCACAGGCACGATTCTGTCTGGACAGCTGGCCACTGCTGGAGCTATTCAGGCTTTTAAGCACTAGTGTTACATGATCTGATTTATATTTTTTAAAGATCACTCTGATTTTTATTTTATTTAAATTTAAAATTTTATTTTTAATACTTAATTTTTTTTCAGTTAGAGAGGACATTCAATATATGAGTTTCAAGTGTACAGCACAGTGTTTAGACATTTATGTAACTTACAAAGTGACCCCCCAACAAGTCTAGAATGGGGTCTCTTTTAAAAGGATATTAATCCTATTCATGACGGGTCTCTTCACCCTCATGAGCTAATCACCCTCAAAGGCCTCCACCTTTTATTTATTTTTCATTGAATTAATTGAGGTGACTGACACTGGTTAATAAAATTGTGTAGGTTTCAGGTGTGCAAGTCTATCATACATCATCTGTATATTGTGATGTGTGTTCACCAACCCAAGTCAAATCTCTTTTCCTCACACTTATCCCCCCATACCCTCTTCTACCTCCCCCACCCCCTTTCCCCACTGGAGGCAACCTGCGATTTTACATTTTAAATGATATTTGAAATATGTCTTGAGAGCATAGGATTTAGACAGATGAAGAGGGTGAGAAATGTGCTTCAGGCATAGAGAATGGGCACTCAGCTTGGAGGCAGGAGAGAGGAAGACTGGAGAGAACCGAGCACACGCCTTTCAGATGCCTATGAGTGAGGGGACAGGGCAGAGCAACAGAAGACCCTCCACGGAGGGGACAAGGCAGAGGGGGAAAGGAACCAACCACAGAGTGGTCAGAGCAGGGGAGGCAGGGGGCCCTCCATGGGAAGGCAGGGCAGGGGGAACAGGGGACCCTCCGTGGAGTGGGCTGTGCCCCTTGTACCGTCCCTCCTCTCCTGTCCCCCCTGTTCTGTCCCCTCCATGGAGAGTCCTCTATCTCCCCTGCCCTGTCCCCACCATATAGGTTCTCTGTCCCCCTGCCCTGCTGCACTGGTCCAGCTGCTCTTCTGGCAGGAGGAGGTGAAGCTGACATCATGGGCCTGCAGTTCGGGGCAAGGCCACCTTCAGCAATGTCATCGAGGTGAGTGCCCTCCCCTCCCCTGCCTGCCTGCCTCTGGCCCAAAGGCCTGGCAGGGCACTCAGCAGGACCCAGTGCTGATGCTGGGACCCCAATGGGCAGGGGGCGAGCATGCCTGTCTCTCCCCAGAGCCAGACTTGGAGTGTCCTGCGTGTTGGTGGCTGTGGTCAGTAGCTGAAAGGCTAATTGCAAGAGTGCACTTGGGCTTGTCAGGTATTTAAAACACTTGGGGGACTGAAGTTCCCCTGGGGCTTGCTCTGGGGGAGAAGCACATGTGTTAACTCCAGCCTGTCACTTTCACAAAGGGTGGGACTTGGCGAGTCCATGGGTCCTGTGAGAAAGCGGGAGAATTGAGAGGCTCAGTCAAGAGCCCCAGTGCAGCCTCCTACTGAATTCTGTGAGCAGCCTGTCCCCTGTCATTCCGTGCTGGTTGTGACCCTTCCCCAGGGACTGAGATGAATTGATGGCTGCTGCACTGAATGGTGGTAGCTGGGGACAGAGTTCCAGCCAGACCCCAGCAGTGCCCCGCATTTATTAAGCCAGGCAGTGAGGGGCCTCTGCTTTTCCAGGGCTCCTGGCTCAAGGGAGGGGACAAGATGGTTCTATAATCCCCAGGTAGTTAACTACCTTGATAAACAGGGTGTGTGGGTATGTGGTCATTCATTGTGTGTGTGGGGGGGGGGGATGGGGGGGG